ATGGTCCACTGGGAGGTCAGATTAAAACAACCACAAAGTCAATCATTGACCTCCGGCCTAGGGTGTCCTGTTGCCACGTACACTGGTGGACACCCTTATGCTTGAACATGGTGTTTGTTATAGACAAACTGTGACTAGCACAGAAGTCCAGTAACAGAACACTGCTCAGGTTCAGATCGGGGGGGCCGTTCAACAATGGAGTCCCCAGTCGGAGCACTTTCCAGTTCCCCTCCCAGACACTCTAAGAAGGTCGGGTACTCTGCACTGTCATTCGGCCCATAGGCACAAACGACAGTGAGAGACCTATCCCCGGCCTGAAGGCGCAGGGAAACAACCCTCTCATTCACCAGGGTAAACTCCAATACATGGCGGCTAAGCTGGGGGGCTATAGGCAAGCAAATATGTCTGCTGATATTTAATGTGTTTTGATAATACTTTTTAGAAGGAGCACGTGTGACAGTGTGTGAGAGAATAAAGTTTAATAAGAGAATATAAGAATAAAATAAATATGCACAGATGAATGCTTTAAAAACTAAGTACAAGAACTTATTATGTAAAATATTAAAAATACAGTACTTCAATGCCCCACAGTCTGTTGGAAGGTTTCTTGGTTGCTGTAGTCATATAGTCATTCCTCCTGTTCATAGCTGCTGCGATTGATCCCATCTGGTTGTGACTCCAGTGTAAAAGACACAGTCCACTCTTCATTTAACAATCCATTCTGAAGGGGTGTTCACTCAGCCTGGTTCCGGTCCTCTGAGTGACAACTCACATTTGTGATTTCTCCTGCAATCCAAATAAGTCTGCTTTTTTTTGTTCACCTTCTAATCCAAGAACAAACTTGTTCTTACTGTTATTTTTCTCTAGTTTCATTTTACATTTGTCTCTGTACATTAGAGATAAATGCAAAACTTGAGCAGTTTAAATGTATGCAGTTTTGTCTTCCAAGTTAGCTCCACTATGGCAAACTTGCTCCTCTTAGCATCTACTTGTGTCTTTGCAAATATACAGTATATGCATTGACCAGGATGTACCCATCTGTGGCAGCTCACCAGGGAAACATTGTCCATGGAAACACAAGGAGGGAGTCTTGCATTAGAAATTCTGAAAGTTACCTGTAAAATATGTATGTGCCAAGAAATGACAACTTTTCCATCAGTTCTACTGACAACTACTATATAAATGTTTGTTGTTCCAAACTGACTTAAATTAGTAGGTGTGTACAATATTGTCGTGAGCTAGTGGGCTCTAGGGATTCTACCAAAGAATGACACTAGAGTCAGGCTGTCTTTTCATGCAGACTTCTATGCCCCATACACCACACAACTCCGAACAGCTGCTGATTTTTATTGAGCACAACACATGAACTTATATACGTCAGTTTTCCCCCCAATAGAACCTGTCAACTGGAACCATAACCTGCCAACCAAAAGTTTCCTCCCCAGAACACCTGCTAACTGCGGGTAACTGCACCAGTCCTGCCCTCTGGGTGCATAACTGTCAGTGAGTGGCATGTCCCTGTGTGCGTGTAAAGTCCATGGCACTGCCCTAGCATACTACAATATGGAATGCCTTGAACCACTGATTTTTTTTTTTAGATTTTTGGTTCACAGAATGGAAGTGTTTTAAAGTCAGTGAAGGACATCCCTAACATTACAGTAGCTAGCTTTGCATTTCAGCATTTGAAATAAACTCATCGCTTGTCAGACTCAAAGTGTACTGTTTCATCCAGGCTGCTCTGTGCTGTATATCACAGATAGATGTGGCACACCATCCACACCCAGGTTGGTCATAGTTTGTCATGAGATAGGATCCAGGTTCCCTGAAGAAAAACAGCAACACTTTAGCACTCTGCTGATGGGTAATTTATCAACAAGGCCCCTAGACTTTAGATCACCTCAGAAGATAAATGTGTAACATCAGTTAAAACCGAAACACATTTTTCATCTTTCCTTTTATGGAACAACATCTGAAAAATGCCCTTTACCCCCTTTATTGAAATATGCTTTTTAATGATGTTGTAGGCTTTCAGGAGATTGATTATGCAATACAAATGCAGATCAAGATGAAGCTATTTATTTCAGAGGTATGGCTATATATTTGAATTTTCTGTTTTCTTCCCAGGATTCAAGTGTCCTGTCTGCTCCAAGTCTGTGGCCTCCAGTGAAATGGAAGTTCACTTCATCATGTGTCTAAGCAAGCCTCGCCTCTCCTATAATGGTAAGGAACACCTTTGCCTGTTTCTGTAGTTTTCTTTTTATGGTCGGGGGTTTGGAAAGAGAAGCCAGACCCACTGTGCGCTAGTAAATAGCGAATTGATTTTGGCTGTGGCCTTCTTTATATTTATGGGACTTTACTCTGCCAAGTCTCCTGTTCCTGCTGCAATACTGATAAATATTCATTACAAGGTGGGTGGATCTAGAGACTGATGCACTTTGTCGAGCGGGTTCCTTCCAAAAAATGATAAATATGAATGAGGGGAAATGAGGAAAATCATAAAAATTCATAGAATGAGCTTGCACAATCTGATATATTCATTCATCCAGTTCTAAAAATACAAATTGAGGCAGCTAAGACCCCTCGTGGCTATCATCTTGCTGTAACATCTTTAGTTTCACAAGATGTTGCTGGTCCTATCTGATGCCATTATGTTTGGGCTTTTTCAAGCATTTGGTGTCATTTCACTGGAGCAGTAATTTGCAGGTCTATCTAATGAATAGTGGTCCATTTGCCAATTTGGTTTGGTTTGTTCAAGGTGGTATGAAAGCTGTCAGTTGAACTGATGATTGTGAGAACTGAACAGAACCACTGAGATTCCCTGAAAATGTGATCTTGTTGCAAGGTGCAGCCTGCTGACCCTGCACCCTGTGACACTAGTGAAGATAAAAAACAGATAACACAGTTTAAAGAGCTGAATGACCTCAGTGGCTTCATATAACCATGTGATTTAAGTTTATGACTCGTTTCGTTTGTAAATGCCGGAGCGAAGCAGAAATGTACTGGAAGGAAATGCATCTATGTATCATTGTTTTTTTTTTGTCTGAAAGTAACCTTAAAACACTTTAATCTATTTTTTAAATCAATAAACATCATCAGTTGTGGAAGGAGTATTATATCTTTTACTTAAGTGAAAGCAGCCATGCCTCAGTATAAAATACTCACAAGTAATATATTAAAAGCATTTGTAAATCCTCACATTACCCTAAAGCTAATACCTAAATAAAAGTATATACAGAAGTATTAGCAGCATCAGTGCAGTTAAATTATCAAAACAACTCATTATCACAACATGACAATTAGTCAACATCGTAAATCATTATACAACTAGAGAAATGCATTTCTTGTAGTAAATGCGTGTGGATGCTGATAAAAACTGAAAGATCATCCTGAAAATGCCTGAAATCAATTGCTGAATCAGCTGAAAGATGAGAAGAAATGGCTGAAGTTCTTTGTTGAA